AAAGTCAAGTCGAGTGAAGTCGACTCAAAAACGCTGATTGCCTGTATCGAAAAGAAAAGTGAAAGACAAAATATTACGGCGGATTTATTTGTGCCCCCTGACGAGGCCTCGCCTACACATCTACGCATCAGCACGTGTCGTCGACGTCTTTGGCTCCCATTGTTTAGATTACAAGCATTTCAATTTTGGCTTGTACCAGGACCTATTGATGGATATACATAACTATACTATATGTGTGCGGCGTAATATATGAAAATATAATCTGATTAGAGCACAAAACATTGTCATCACCTGGCGCTTAGTAGAGCTCAGCGCAGCTCTCAAGTGTGTAATTGTGTCTAAGTTCTCTTCTTCTTTTCACTACCTTTCACCTAATTATTTTGGCTTATTCGCGTGCGTGTGTGTGTTTGTGTGTGTGTGTGTGCTCGCGCTCTTGCAACTTGAGATTGGTTATAAACTCATTAAGTGGGCTGCCGTCATTAAACAAAGGCGAAAGCTGAGCGACAAAGACATTTGGCTGCTAGCCAGCAATGAACGGGAAAGCAAGAACTTGACACATAGAAAGTATGTTCGAGCTACTTAACTGAAATTCCTGCTCAACTGAACATGTGAGATTTTTCAGGGCAATTAAAGAACATATCGAATCGATATCTTCAACAAAATTACGCCGTCGCTCTACTCAAGCAGTTAAAATGACGAAATTGTTAGGAATTTCTTAATATTTATAAGAAGAAAGGCACTTTTAGTTGCTCCCAACATCAATATGTTTTAAAATGATTATTTTTTTTATGGAAAAGGAGTTTTCGAAAGGAGTGTATTTTTTCCTATAAAAAAACTGGAATAATAGTCTCCTACTTAGCATACAGTTAGCTTGCAATTATTTCTTAATTCTGCATTTAAAAGAAGTTTTTCAGACTATTTTATCGACTATTATAAAAAGTTATCTTCGTAGAGTGTATCTGGATATGTTTCCCAATTAAATGTCGCATTATTTAGAAATCGGTAAATAAAGGGTTTGTCAGCTTTGTTGGTTTTGAACTTTAATAAAAGAATAATTGTAGTTTGATAGTAAATGCCATTTAAAAAATTAATTCTTTTGGCCATTCGCTCTTCGTTTGCCTTTTTTTTAGTACTGTGAGTAAAAATAAAAACAAAAGTAAAAAGGATAAGTACACGACCTAACAACCAATATACAGAAAATTGAGGAAAATGTATCTTTATTTATCTACAGTTGCCAGCATATTCAATACCCATTTCAATATCCTCTAAACAAGATATTAATCGCAGACCACACCTCTTCATTGCTGGAAAATCTTTTGCAAGTTGGCTAATTCTGATGAATAGCGTGCCCGATGAAACAATTCGAGCTTCAACTCATTGATTTATCACGCTACGCTAACGTATTGACAAACCAACACCTTTCTTTTCTATTTTTCTTGACTTAATCACACAAATGTTTATTGGCTTTCGTTTTGGACGATAATCAACAAAAATTGATCCAAGTGCTTCCCAAAAAAAATGACACCATGTCCTTACAGGCAGCTTTTTTGCCTTTTGTTTTGATAGTTCCAGCCTTCTACACTTGATTGAAACATACTCAGTTCGAGAAAATTATTCAGCAAGCTGCAAGTATTTTCATATACGTGTATTTGCATTTTAATATTTTAATTTCTTGTCAAATGAACTGATTAAGGAACACATTTTACAATTTAATTATGGCATATGGTGCAAAAATAAAATATATTAAACACATTTGTAAATTTCATACAATTTTTTGTTTTTTTTTTTTTTTGCTTGTAATATATTTATCTGTAAAGAGCACTTTGAATTTTAAATGCCAAGAGGAGAATAGTTTCAATAATAAAATCTGTAATGCACTTACAACCACATAGAAGACGTAAAAGTTGTTGTTATTAAATATTTAACGTACCTTAATATGCTACTCGTACTATATGTACAGACAGCTTTTTTGGAAGTAGTTTGAATAATCCAGCAACTAAGCAAAAACATCCGATACTAATGTTGTTACTTATATTTAAGTAGGGTAGTAGTTGTGTGAATCGGAGCTTAACTATTAACATTTTGCAAATTCTATAATTCTCTTCGAGAGCAAATAATAAAATGGTTTGTTGAGTTTTGTGATTGTTTCCTGAGCACTCAAACACAGCTTTTGCAAATAATATAACACAACTACAAGCATACATAAATTAGCTGACATATACTATATGTATTTATATTGCTCGAAATTAACTGAAATTTGATATTCCCAATTATTTGTGAAGCAAATTTATGTGAGTTCGACATTAATTGCCACCTTAAAATATTTTTCATTTGTTATTGAACTTAAATGGAAATCGCTAGGAATTATTTTAAAGCCATAATTAAAACAAATAATCCATAACAGTAGCCCAAATTGTTTATATTTCTATAATTTGTTATAAATCAAATAGAAATGAACGCATTTTCATGCATGTGGAATAATCCTATTTATAATTATAATTTGATTATTTTACATAGAAATACATTTGAATTCTCCTTAAATGAAAACTATAGAGCAAATAATATTATTATTTCATCAGCAAAACACGTTTCACTTTTAAATTGACTCTATTATTATAAGTTAAGCTGCAAATTGAAATTTTTGTCTTAACAAAAACACAATGCTAGCTAGGCAATTACGAGTATGGTTATTATTGTTATTATTGTTGACTTTGAAGTTCTCACCATAAAGTGCAGGAATTTTCTGGGAATTCATTCACTCTACACTAAATATGTACATAATTTGGGGCGGAATTTGAGAAGCCAGCACACGTGCTTGGCACCCACACGTACTCGTACTAATGTGTATGCCTTCTCGAGGATTTCGTCAACAACTGCTTGCAGATGAGTAAAAATTATGCAGCTACGAGTATATGGTTGAAGGATGGCAGGACAGGCTGTGAATAGCAGCCGCCCTCGCATCTGTTGGCACTTCACCAACAACCGACTGCAATTCATTAATTTATTGACTTATAATCAAGCAGCCAAACTTATGCCCACAGCCAAAGCACCGGCAGGGTATTGCCGGCTAGATACGAGTAAACATCCATATCTATTTATCACACAGTGGGGCAGGAAGCAAAGGCGGAGTCAGCCACACTCTACAATGTCTATTGACGGACGAGAACGTTGCCTGGCAATAACCGCTAGAGATGGGTGTGTGAACAATCTTGCCGAATAACTAAAAAAGCGAAATTAATGCACTGAAGAGAGGAAAATCATTCATTCATATTGCTGTCCACTTTACTTTTCACTATTATGAGCAGTAGATACTTCATACTGATCTTTAATGTTAAATCTGTTTTTACTGAAAGTCTAGGTTACTCAAAAATATTAATTGATTTTTGATGGTCTGAACTCAGGTAGTTAGAAGACTTTAGTCAGCTATTTTGCCTTTTGGAATTGCACTTCAAAGCTGCCTTCAAGCTGCATTTACATATACATCTGTTAACTGAGCTGAGACTTTAAAACATAAAAAGAAAAGTAATTCATAGAATTTTCTCATTAGGCATTAAGGCAGCCAGGCCAAGATATGTTGTCGTTGTCTGCAGACACATGCATTTACAGTAATTGCAAGTTATTTTTTAGTTGGTTAGTTAGTATACAAATGATTCGAATAGTTTTTACGATTTTAACGCTTGCTAAACAAATATTGGTAAAGTTGGTGAAGATATTTATTCCCTAAAACTAGTACCGGGGACTTGCTTAAAAGGAAAATTAACTGCCTGATCTCTCATGTGATAATGGTTTAAAATAAGAATAATATAAACCTACGATTCTGTGCCAGCTAAATTTATTTATTTATTTATTTCCATCGAAAAACAATGCAGTCGATGTACATACTATAAGAAATCAATACAATAAAAAAGAGAACTCAACTAAGTAAAACTAAAGAAATAAAAAAGCCTATAAAAATGACAAAAATATATAATAACGAATCCGACACGGTGGGGGAATTTTATTTGCCAAACGGCCAGCTATGCCCCGATTCATAGCAGAAAGTAATCAGATACGTTATTAGACCTATCAAAAAAGAAGTGGAGATGAAAAAAATAGCAATAAAAGATAGAAGAAAACAAATTATAATTAAAATACTTAAATAATAAAATATAATTAAAAATTAAAGGTGAAGAATCACTGACCCGTGGGGGGAACATTTATTAGCCAGTCCGGCTAGCTATGCCCCTACTCACAGCAGTGGTGATCAGTGATTCTGTCGGAGGTAACTGAAAATAGAAGATTTTAATTCTATATTCGAAATAATTTCTCACATTTAAACCTATCGAAGACTTTAATATTTGCCATGATAGTCTGATGGAGTGCAAAGCAACCATAAACTGAGATTTGTTTGTGTTTCAAATGAACAGTTTTAAGATGATATTTAACCGATTCTCTTGGCAATCACGCACCCATCTCTACTGCCCACTATCGCCGGAATGCTCTGTTTGTTTTGGCAGTTGTCTAACTCAGTTTTGCCTGCTGTCCTTTTTACCTTTTTTTCTTTCTCTTCATTTCGTTGAAATTTTTCGTTTTTGTGCTCGCCATTCTTTGCTCAGTTACCGAATAAAGCACACGCTTGTGGCTAAAACCCCCAGCTCAGCACCTCGTCCCAAGTGCCACGAGACCGAAACCCCAAAGAGCAACTTTACATAAAGCGCCAATGCCAGACGAAGAGTCACGTACGTGTGTCTGATTCCTGGCCACCAAACGCAGCGGAGCAGAGCAAAGACATCATAAACCAAAGCAAATAATTAAATAACAAAGTGCAAGTGCAATAAAACTAAAAAGTGGTGTATAGTACAACAAAAACCAGATACAAAAAATATGTACTATGTACGGGTATAGCTAAAAATATGTCAATGGTGTGTGGAAATTTTGCAGTTTATAGAAAACTTCGCGGGAGCAACGACGATAAAAAACACCAGACGAAACTTTAAGCAATAAAATGCGCTGCGGAGCAGTTAGAAAAGGTCCTGCAGTGGCAGCAGGACGAGCGGGAGATGCGGGGGGAGCAAGCAGAAGCAGTGGCCTCCTGCTGGCATTGCTGGCAGCTGTCAGCTATACTGTCATGCGTGCATGTAAGTGTAAACTGTTTTCTCTCCCTATATATATATACTATACGCAGACTATATAGTATGCATGTGCGTACTTACATACATACATACATACATACGAGTGTGTATCGTATTTGTGTTTGCAGTTGGGTCCCCACCCTACATTCGCCATCTTTGCTTGTTTCAGAAGATCTGCGTTGTGTTCAGTTTTGTTTTTGTTTTTCTGGCATGCATATTTAATTCAATTTCGCACATTTTGGTCTGCACACATGCGTGTACACTGAGGAAAACAAGGGTTTATCCCATACATTAAAGTAGGATTATAAATTTTTACTCAACAATTTTTAGGGATTTTTATTAAGTCAGATTGGAATCTATTATTATTGCCTCTACATTCCAATCAATAGGTTCTTAAATAAAAATAGCAAATTAATTGTTTAATATGAGTTTCAATTAGCGCCTGGCCAACACATGTTCAATATGCTAAAAAAGTTTAAATAAGTTTTTTAAATGTACACTTTGTCAACAATATAATTAAACATTAAACAAAATTCGTCCATTTTTTAAATTGAAAATCTGAACCTGACTCCACATTTCTCTATCTATACAATAAGGACATTCAAGTTTCATAACATTATGTATTGCATTATGTTTATATATTAGAATATAAAATTATGTGACGCAATCATTTTTGGAAATTCAAAAGTTGCATTTCATTAAATTTAGTTTTTAATAATATGTTCAACAATAATAGTCAAAGCTTGAGCTTGATTTTAATAAAAATTACAACATTTATTAACAATAATAAGAAAGGTTTTAACATAATTCACAAACAAAGGTCGTTTGGTAATAAAATGTTATTTATTATATCTCCTTCTTCTAAGACCATAAATAATGCTCTTTTGAAACAAACAAAATTTAAATGGAAATAAAATCTATTCTTATGAAAAGTTCAAAGCTGGTTGTCACACAAATGATTAAAATAAAACCCTTCTTGCTTTTTTTGACTGTTGGTTAATGTAGTTAACGAGCTTCATGTTTGTCAAACCTTTCTGTAATGTAAAAATAAAAATAATTATTTTATGATCAAAAAGCGAGTTATTTAGTATTGTATTCATTGTAACAAACTGTTTAATATAGTTTTGAACTTTCTATGAAGAATGAAACTACAGTGTCCAGTAAACTATCTAACAATTATCTATTAATATTTTGTTTTTTCCTGCTTTTCAATAAAAAGTTTTGAATGTCAAACTATATGTTAAATATCACTTTATTTTTAAGTGTACTTACCTATTTATAATCAAGAATGTGTTGGCATGTAGTTATCTTTGTAAGTGTGCATCTGGGTGTATCTGTGTGTGTGTGGGTGTGCACGTATGTAGGTGTCGGAAGCGTTTGCCAAATTTAATTTACATGATGAGATTTTCTGTTGTTGCCACGCACTCAACTCTCGAGGACAAACTGAAGTTAAGCCGACTCTTGTTTGCACGATTTTTATAAGCTTGTAAGAGTTAATTTAATCGGGCAGTACGAATTCTCATTTAAGAGCATAAACACGCACATGAGAACACACACAAACACAAGCAAATATAATAGCCAAGACACCTGTCACGTCACAACACGAAACATTTTCGTTTTCGACAAAAATTCATTACGCATACGCATTGTGTGCGTGCATGTACTTCCTCTTTTCATTCTTATACACCAGTATGTTCTGCACTTTTGCTTTTACCTTTTGATTTTGAGTAGTTTATGAAAATTGCTGGCATATTTTCTTTATCCATGCCTTGCTCAAATGTATACATGGCAACTGACTCTGCAGTTGATTAAATTTGTGTATTGTGTGCGATTGTGTATGTGCTTGTGTGTGTGTGTGTATGTCTTCAACAGGTCGTATACATGTTATACGTGCAAATTAGAATTCATTTTACTCTGTGTTTCTATACATAATGCTTTAATAAAGTCGCCAATTAAAATGAGAAATTTTACACAAACTGACAAAGAATTTCTATGTACTCTTTACAAATAATAAATTACACAACGTAACTTTACATTATTTGCTGCATACTTTTTATATTGCATTCGAAGTTTATTGACATGTTTTCAGCATAATTGTTTATTAGAATTTGTATACACTTTTTGACGAGCTATTGCAGATATGCTACCAGCTTTTGCCAATATTTGGAATAATTTTTGTTTCCATTTTTTCTAAGCTTGAATGTAATTTTTTGTGTCAACTAAAGGCTTAGTTTTTTGCACACTTCAATAAAGAAGTCAATTATTGGTCATTTAAACGAAGGCGTGAGGTGCACCACAAATTGAAATTGTTTTAATCAGAGAACCGAGAAGTATAATAATTTATTTACAAGCAAAATGAGGGAAAATTAGAAAAAGTAGAAAATCAAACTGTATATGTGACTATCTATGAATTTATTTTATTTGATGCGCGCACCAGTAAGTAAGTCGTCACTAAATTAAAATTGAACATTTTTTTATTCATTTTTTTTCTCTAAACGTTCACATAACCAAATGGGTAAGCAAGATTTGAGAAACAACAATAAACAGCTATATGAGTGAGAAGCATTTGTTGAATTTGTTTTTATTTACTATAATGACGCCATAATTTAGTGTCCACAAATGTATTATCTGCAGCTTACGCCAACTTACACTGTCAAACTAAGCTTAATACGATGCTTTTATTTAAGCCGTAACAAACCAATGCCATAAAATATTCAACCTCAATGCCAATCAATCTCAACTAAGCCTCGGCAAAGTCAAGGCGATATCATTAACAACACATGTGTCTGCTGCGCCTTATGATATAATTAAATACATATATATAGTATAGTGAAGAGGCCAAAAAAATATGAGTCGCCACAGACAACAAGAAGAACAATAGGCGTACGAGAAGAAAAACTCATTCAAATAACACTTAAGCCATCAATCAACGCAACTACTATGTATTTATGAAGGTCACAGGCAAAAGGGAAGCGACACATACTCCTATATTACTTATACACTGAAATGTGCAGTTAAAGTATGAGTCTGCATGTTGGTTAATTATGCGAACGGCGAATACAGAAAACATACAAACATTTATATAAATACCAGCATCCCTACATAGTACATACGCATATATTCTGGATGTACTCGTATATAAGCATTATTTAAATAAAAGCGTGCAAGACAAATGGCGGTCAAATGTCACGTTTAATTTATTTATGGTGCGAGTCCTGTTGGCTTAAATTAAATAACAGCTTGTTGCTGTGAGTTAAGTGAGTTAAGGCCAAAGAGTTGAGGCTGCCTACATCCTTCTTCTTCTTCTTGCTCTTTCCTTTGACCACGACCATCTTAAAATTGTTAATGTTCCTGAGGTCGGTTGTAAGCCAGAGCCAAAGCATTGTTAATATAGCCATTAGCGCATGCCTTTCAATTGTCAAGTCTTCATGCCGACCCCAGAGGAACGTTGTAAAATTGTGGATAGCAAGAAGACATATGGCACATGGACCCAACGTACATGACATTGTGCCGTCGTTTTGCAAAATAATCCGCGCTTAATGCCACACAGCATTGGAAAGCAAGCGAGTGCTTAATATTGCTATTGTTGTTGTTGTTGTTGGTGTTGTTGTGTTTCTGTTACTGCTGCTGATGACATGCACAACAGCAGCAGCAACACAAACAGCAACCAAAGTAAGTAACAGCAACAGCAACCTCAACCAGCAACAGAATCAACATACGCATTCCCATTGCCACATGTTTATCTCGTGTATATATACAGGCATGTATGACTATGTGTGTGTGTGTAGATATGTATGCTTGTCTGCTCAGTCATACAATCATATTTGTTTACGGTTGCGTGTGCAAATTATAAACGAAATAACATATTGAGGTAGCGTACAGAGGCAGCCCATATAAGTAGGCAATGGTTTTTAAATTTTCCGCATTTAACCCATTAAGGTTCCCTTCTGTGCTCAATGAGAAAACAACAAAAAACGCCATCGACAGAACTACAATTTTAGTTGAATCTGTAGGTATATGTAGGCTTGTTGTTGGAATATATAGGGTATGCCCCTTATTTATGCAACCAGTTTCGACTACTCACTACTTTTATTGACAATTTAAATGAATTGGATGCCTTGTTCGCATTTAAGTAATTCATCTGCTAAATTTAATTGCCAATTAGTGTTCTTCGATTGTCAATTTAAACTTCGTTAAGCAGGTAGCGACCAACCGAGGAAAAAATAATCTAACAAATAGTAATATGGCCAACAGCGATTTCTGATTGCTCGCTTTGCTTTGCTCTTTGTGCGCATTTGCAGGACAACATTTCGTGCGTTGTGTGCAGAGTTAAGTCATAAAGCTCTAAAATGTTGTCAGAAATAAAATAAGTAGTTCAAGTACATGCGAAAATTGTTTCGAAATGAAGGAGCACTGAAGCAATTTAACATGTATTTTATGATATTTTATATTATATAAAAAAATAGTTTATATAACACAAAGACGTCTCAAAGGACTCTACCTGCTTTACCATCCGTTCCGGATCTTCTAGAGTCTGCCGGACAACTTTTAATTTTAATCTTTTATTCAACCACACCAACAACTTTAATTAGAAAAAGTCTTATAACTTTGTCCTTTGGAAGATGCCAATAACTGATTAAATATTTGTCGTTTTAGATCTTAAACAAAGCAGCAATTAAAAAAAAATACATATACAAGTATTTATATTTTGTTTAAATATAAGTATTCTGAGCAAATATGTTTTTGTGAAAGGCTTTATATCATGACGAGGAATTTTTCCTTAGATATACTCGTATATTGACGAAAACCCTTGGAGCTATGATCTATCATAGAGTATTTGGGGAGCTCTGTTAGAAATGAGGCATCAATATCGATATCTCTATTTAAAATCACAATCACAATCTTTAAAAGTGCGTATAACAATGGGTTAGAGAAATCGATGCCAACTCCTCAAACTCAAATGGAGCGCACGCCTTCACTTAAGTCATGTAATTGCTGTGTGAACA